TATTATATATGATGAAAAGGATTTATCAAAAAATATCAAAACCTACCAAAGCTAGATGTGACCATTAATTACTCTTGAGTCTTGAGTGGTTATTATTACAACATTATAATCGTGATATCAAGAATTATGATGTCACAATCAATGGTTATGCTAATTTTGTTAGGAATAGCTAGTCAATGATATCTTTCTATTCTATCAAGAATCATTAAGAATGTACTCTTCAATCACGTTCAAGTCTCGTATTGATTAAACAAATTATGATCAAGTTTATTAGCAAACACGCATCTGAAAATATGTCAAAAAACTAGATGCCTGCTGTTTGTAGAACTTTTTTTACAAGAATTTAAAACAAAAACCAATTCGGCGGCTATTTTGAAGATGTGTATTAATGTGTATTTCACCTTTTTTGACACTAGATTGATCACTTAAATTGTCATTGTGTTGCCATTTTCAATTGTAGCAGGTTCAATTTTGCTGTACAATTTAATAATAATGTTCAATATGATAAAAAATAATATGCAACAAACTGGAAAATTATACATTATTGATTTTTTTTTATTTTTTTTTTACATATTTAGTGTAACTGAAGCACTTTTGATTTTTGACCCCGAAAAAGGTAAAAAATAACACAAATGATAATGGGTCAAAAATAGAAGCAAACTGACCCCCTTTTTTGTAGATGTTTTAGAAAGAGAAACATGTTCTGCAAATGGTCAAAAGACTAACAGTTCTGAAAGATTTGCATTACAGTGTAAACAGTTCATGTCAGGAATGATTATATTTCAGTCTCATATGACGATAACTAAAAATAAGAACAAGAGAATGAGAATAATTTTACTATAAAGCTGCATATTAAGTTGTAAAGGCTACAAATATGCATTTGTTTGATTTCTTTTATGTTTCTAATACCAAAACAAGGGATTGCTGCAGTTTTGACAAATAGTTCAAGTGTTACACTACAGTGACAGCTACAGAGCTGTGCCAAAAGTGAAGATAAATCCAAGATGGCTGCCAATTTTGTCAGTTCTGACACCTCAGAAATCAAAAGTAATTATCATGGCTTAAACTTCCATGATACTTTGTGATACATCTTTTGGCTTTGATTACTGCTATTATGCGCTTTTGGATTGATTTGTACAGTTTTGGGGTGAATTCCAGGGGTATTTCTGTCCATATTGTGCGAATTGCATCCTCCATTATTGCACGAGAGGCGATGTTGTGGGCTTGTTTCTGAAGTTCAATCTTAATTTTAATTTTTGCTTCTTTCAAGGAATATTTAAGGGCCATTTTGAATGCAGTGAGCACAATTGATTTGATTTTAAATTTTCATTGAGTATCAAAATAATGTTCAATACCACACTGTCATACATATATACTTATCATAACGAGAAATGAATTTATTTTAAAATTAATAAAATTGAGATGAGGAAATAAGTTGTTATGCAAGTTTTGAAAAAATCTTCTGCCATCTTAAAATGGTGGCCATCACCATTCTTTTAAAGGCAATATACATAAGTTTTGTTTACATGATTGTCTGCTCATACATAAACAAATTAATAAGTATTGTGTAAAAAATGTAAGAAACTATTAACAAATGAGTATACAAATGTACATATGGGATTGTTAAATCTAACATATATTTGGCTGCCATCTTGGAATTGGTGGCCATCTTATTTTTGACGGCCATCTTGAAAGAAAAAGATTGGCCCCATATCCTAAATTGATCAGTATATAATTCTCAACCAGTATGACAAGTTGTATGCTTCTATCCAAAAATCCACGATTTTCCTGTGTTTTTTTTATAATAATAATAATGATATACAGCATTTATATAGCGCCCTAAATAATTTGTAAAATTACTCTTAGGCGCTTTACAACATATGGATAATAGAGTAATTGTTATAATTGTGAAAACAAACAACAAAGGCTTGCAATCACTTTCATACATTTAACAAGCAATGTGCACATAGTTGAACAAATAAAAGGGTGGTATTTACATGACGTCTTGCAAAGTTTCTAAAATGCAGACGTGAAGAGATGAGTTTTAATGTCCCTCTGGAACTTGACCAGGGTATTCGACTTCCTAATAGCAGATGGTAAGCTATTCCACAACGTAGCCGAAACCCTCCCAAAGCATCTGTTTCCGTAGGTCACAGTACGAGATTTTGGGACACACAACAAAGATTCTGACTCCGACCGCAGTGATCTTGACGGCTGATACAGGGTAACAAGTTCCTGTAGGTACTGAGGAGCTGTTCCATTCAGTGCCTTGTATGTGTATACCAGAATTTTGTACTGCGACCTGTATCGTACAGGTAACCAGTGCAACGAATAAAGCGCAGGTGTGATGTGCTCTCTCTTTCGAGTACGAGTAACTAGCCGTGCTGCAGTGTTCTGGACCCTCTGCAGACGACTAGTTAGTTTGTCAGATATACCACAGAGCAGGGCGTTACCATAATCCAACCGAGAGGTAACAAGTGAATGCACCAAAATCTTGCATGCATCTGCAGTTAGAAACTGCCGAATACAGCCGATGTTCCTGATCTGGTAGTAACAGGATTTGGCAATAGCGTTCACTTGTTTCTCCATGTTCAGAGAACTGTCAAAGTATACCCCTAGGTTTTTAACAGCTGGAACAGTCTCAATAGTTCTGGCACCAACCTTGAGCTGGAGAGCCATTGTTTGCTGACACTTTGGGGAAAAGACGATTAGTTCCGTCTTTTCCTGATTAAGTTTAAGCATGTTGGCGTTCATCCAGATACTGATATCTGTCAGACAAGCTTCCAGACTTTCTGAGACTGTATTCCAACTGTCCTGTGGTTTTATGACCATGTAAATGTGTGTGTCATCAGCATAGCAATGATAGCGAAGGCTATGGCGACGACAAATCTCTCCAATCGGTTTGGAGTACATACCTTATTTTCGTGGTCCTAACACCGACACTTGAGGAACCCCGAAATCTAGTACTTTGTCATGTGAAGTGGCAGATCCGATGGCAATACACTGTCGTGGTTCACTCAGGTATGACTGTATCCAGCATAGTGCGGTATCAGTCACTCCATAAGAGTATTCCAGACGTTTATAAAGTATGCCATTCTCGGCAAATATTTGGCGGCAATCTTTGATTTGGCGGCCATATTGATTTATTTTGTATTGGCCCCATATCCAAAATTGATCGGTATATCATTCCCTATATGCATGCAAATTGTTATGCTTCTACTATAAAACCCACAATTCTTCTGATTTCTGCACCAATCTGCCGGACTATACAATCAAAATAAGTAACCCGGAAGTAAAATGACGTCGTGAAAATTATATTCACCTTTGGTACGGCACTGTACTTAACATATGATTGTGTACTTAAAGTCATGTGTAACACACAGTTCAAATAAAATTATGTCGAATAAATATTGTAGATTCTGTCATGGATAACATTAGACTGCTTAATATTTAGCTGTTTAGTGTCAATGTCTGCATTAAATGACATACATACTTACCATACCTGCAAAGAAACTATTTTGTCCTGAAGCTCTGTTAATTGACAGTACTTCCTGGCTGGATCCACATATATATAAGGATGGTCCTGAGTGATGCCTGCATACTGATCAAGTCGTACATCTACAAAATTGTTCACAGATGTGTAGAATATCAAAATTATCACCAACTCATCCAGCGGTATTGATGAAATATCTATTTTAAACACCATCTTGTATCAAATACAACATTTTAGGTAAGATGAGGTTCACCTAATTGGTAATAGAAAATGTCACATTGTGGTCAGGGTAGGGGAACTAAGATATATACTACTACATGTACCAGCACTCACTATAATTATAAGTTTGCTTTTTATCAGTTTATAATATTAAATAATTACAAGTTTTTATTTATCAACACTACAAATAATTTCATAAAATATGTTATTTTGTATTGAATTATTACCTAAACCGCTGCCGGCACCTGCTGTATAAGTGCGTGCGTCACTTAATTCCACCTCCCCGGCAACATAGGGATAGCACACGTCGGATTTGTCACTGGTTAGCTTGACGAGTCTCATCCTCTTCCTTGGAACGGCCGGATCGAACACACAAGGTAATGTCTGATGTCTGCATAGAGACTTTAACGTAATTTAGTGGCGATATTTTTCTCTAATCTGTCTCTCATTACAAGTTGCAACATTTTTTCTTGACACTGCTTACCTTTGGAAGTTGGGAAAATGTTGTGTCCGGGTAATGCTTTTTGCTATCTGACGTACAGCCGTTCGCATTCTCTCGCGAGACTGGTGGATTTTCCAGCCAGAACTTGAAGGGAAGTAACTCGTGGATGGTCTCGATAACAAGTAGTCTTCTCTTCACTACATATTCGAAACAAATAACACAACGAGCAAATCACATTTGCCTGACCAGCCTGTCGTGAATATAGAGAAAATCACAAAGAAAGGGCAAGTAGAAAACTAGGTAAAAAACATTTCAAATGCCGAATTTTACAAACCTAATTTTTTCGTTACAGCTAAACCTTTCTCAAGCGAATCTGCCACGTAACTGTCTTTGCTGAACTCGCTTTTCCAGCGACCGTGCCTCTTAAAATATCGGTCGTCGACTCCGTTATTAGCGGCTGTCGTAGCCCCTCCCGCTCGAAGCGAATGCAAGCCTAACTTAGCCTCACCGGAGACCAACCTCAATCTTTTGAGCATTGCCTCCTTAGCTCCTGTGTAGCTGAGTGCTTTGTTTTTGTTAATAAGCTTGCATGTTTTTTCCGGAGCGATAAACTTGTTTAAACAAAAAATCTTCCGATCCCAGACTAATTTCTGCCGATTCTATGTACCTTAATAACATCGAATATGGGCAAGCAACCGTGATGCCCTTGCTTATCACTACCTCGTGGCCGAAACGATACTGGTCTGTTTCGCTCTTCCTAATGACTAACGCTAAGTATTCGCCGAATAACTTCACGTCGGAACAATGTAAGCTACTAAGCTCGTTAAAACGTAAAATCCCAGAGAAACAAATTAAAAGCATTGACAAATCTCGTACTATCAACAAGTCGTTTGATTTAGAATATGTCCCACACAAATTAATCAGCATGTCACTGGTTACCGGTTCCTTCTTACAAGTCGGCTTCCTTGCTACACGTTTGGATGTTTCCACCAAGCTCCGAATGAATGAATTAGTTGTAGGGTCCGGGTGACCGTTGATATTGTGCGCCCATTTGATGGCGTACGTCGCTGATGTCACTGTAGAAAATGTGGATCCGTTATCTAACAAATAGTTCAAATACACCGCTACGTGAATCGGTGATGCAGGAAGGGCTGAAAAACAATGAGCCGAAATAAACTGCTCCCACCTTCTGAACGCGCCATAATACTTTGAGTTTGTGCTTATACTCCTACTCTGTAACAGCCTACCAGCCATACCCTTAGCCATCTGGTGCAGAGAGGAACCTTCCGCGATGCCCGAGGCCTCCAATGCGTCGTTTATCGACTTCTTCAATCCTATGCCTGTTAACAAAGAAAAACAAACGTATAAGCGTAACGTATACGTGAACCGGAAACCACTGTCCTAAAATACTATCCTAAAGGCAATCATGTCAAAACCCAAAACACTCCTTCCGAAACACCCGTTTTTGCCCCTCCCCCTTGAGGTGACCTCCGTGTTTGAAAGCAGACGATAATCTGCGATAAAACCCTCAAACGCTGCTGCGGGGCATAATATTGGCCAGTATGCCGCGCTCTCCCATAGCGGGACAATCAGAGTCCCGTGGGCCCCTCGCATTTCATTTTAGATATAACCTGACAAATGAGCCTTGGGAGTGGCACTAACCAGTTGTTTACCCCCTGCCATGTAACTGTGAACGAATCCATGGCTTCGGTGCCCACGCACCACCACCTGGAATTAAAACGTATGCACTTGCTGTTGTAATCCATAGCAAAACGATCAACTAGNCATGTAACTATGAACGAATCCATGGCTTCGGTGCCCACGCACCACCACCTGGAATTAAAACGTATGCACTTGCTATTGTAATCCGTAGCAAAACGATCAACAAGGTGTGGCCCCCAGCATGCCTCACATAAATCAAACACCCATGCCTGTACTGACCAGTCGTCACAATCCTTACACCTGCTTAAATAATCTGCAGTTTCGTTTCTTTCCCTAGGTAGCCATTGCGGAGTGATGTCTATGCTATTTTCGTGACACACGTCATTTACTTCGCGTGCTATAACCTGTAAATCTGATTTTCTACTCCCTGTTTTCACTATGGAACAAACGTTCTTGTTATCAGTCAATAACTTAACATGCTTACCTCTGATCGAGTCTACCTTGTCAAAGATTACCCTTTTCATAGCCTCCAACTCCCTCCAAGTTGAGCTATATGTTTTCTCTCTTTCGTTCCACGTGCCTATTGATACGCGGCTGTCCATGTGGCACAAATTCCCTACTGAGGGGAGACTTACCTCTTGACCCTGTGAGAGTGTCACAGCTGCCTCGATGTCGCTGACTGCGTGACCACCACGAAGCCCCCCTCCATGAGGGATGGAAATTATACTACCTCCGTGCGGTGGTCCCTGGTTCGGAACACTCTTTAAATGTACCTGACCCCCTGAGGGTCGACCCTTACCAGAGGAACCAAACAACTGGCCATCCAAAAAAAACCTGGCACCCGCGGTGCTGAGCCCTTGACCTCCACGAGGTCGCCCCTCGCTCGGGGTACTGCGAAACTGAACTTCCGTAAGCTGACCCGCGCCGGGTATAGCAAACTGCTGGCCTCCTGAAGGCCGCCTAGCCCCTGAGATAAACTCTCGACCCCCCGAGCCGACCAGGGTACTATCATCAAGACCTCCTGCAGGTCGCCCCTCATAGGGATTACTACTGTAGAATTTACGTGTATCTGCAATCCTACCTGTGTCGTCCACCAAGGGGGACACTACTGCTGTAACAAGCGCCACGCCTTCATGCGATATGTCTGTGTCAACATGGTCCGTGTCTAACGGTAAACTTTCCCACGTGCTACATACCTGTGTGTTGCGTACGACGTCACATTGGACTGGTCTATCTACATGCTGTAGGTAGCCCCCGTATCCTTCTCCGGACGTGTCGGTGCAAACCACGACGTCACATTGTTTCGCCACGTGTTCTTTTAACTGAGAGCCATTACTGTTAAAAGTTTGTAAGTTAAACAACCAAAACTCAATTTCATCTAAGGCCCCGGGTGTGAGCATAACACACGCGTTCCAACTAGCTCTGGCCGACACACACCTGTATAGCTCGCGCGTGCGAAGTCGCGCTGGACCGACCACGCCCTGCATTGATATGATTCGACCAACGACGCCTGCCACGTGCCTAGCTGCATAAATAAGCCTACCCCTCTGGGTTACCTGTGTCATAGTACCTGACAAACAAAACAAAAGCCTGTCAATCCGCTCCGACGTGATTCTAACCACGCCCTCCTCCATCGCCCGCGTGTATCCTATCCACGTGGCGAACTGTGACGCCACCCACTGGCATTTGTTTTCGGCTATCACGAAACCGTAATCTGTCAGTTCCTGCCTGACGTACCTGCTAGCCTCGTTGGCTCCGCCCTCTGTCTGATGACCTCCTATACCGTCGTCCAGGTACATGGCCAACCTATGGCCTGACGCGCGAATGGATTTGACCACCTGTCGTAAAACTTTGGTAAATACGTAACCCGCCGTCGCTATACCGAAAGGGAGAACATTATAGACGAATGTTAGCGTTTTGCATTCGATTGCGTACTCGAAACCTAAAAAAGTGCGAAGTTCGGGGAAAATCTCAATATGGTGATATGCCGATTTGAGATCAAACGTAAACAGATAATCGCCTGTTTGAAGCATTTCCCTAGCTACTCTAGCATCATCGTATTTGAATCTGAATTTATGCAAGAACGGGTTAATGTGCCTACAATCCAAGACGAGACGTGGCTTACCGGATCTATTGTACGCTACCGTTAACGGATTTGTGACCCGGGTACCTAACGGGACTTCTGAGACGCAACCCATTCTTAATATTTTTTTAATCTCTGTCGCGACGAATTCGGGGTTATCTCGTGCCGACTTATTATTATGCATGTGCGCATCAGATGGTATCTCCCTGAACGGAATTTTATACCCTCTGTCGATGATTGACAGTACCGTCTCGTTAGTACCTTTGTCCAACCAATACCGTATGTTACCTTTTAATCTACCAACCGGTGAACTCTCGATGTCCGAACATTTACCGTTATGAGTATCGGAATCGACCGCATCCTCGTGCTGACCTCTGACCTGTACAGGCTGGGACGAAATTGCCCACACTTACCTTGTTACCGGTGAACGATTCGAACCCCTGTGTAATAAAAACTTTACTTATCTTATAGCCCGGCGTATTTACTGTGGCCCCTGAGGCTCCCGGACACTCCTGTCTCCAATGGCCCATCTTCCCGCACCCAAAGCATGTGCCCGGCCTGAAACCGCTCCGGGGAAGGCTATTGCCCCTCTCCTGCGTTGAGATGACGTTAACGTTGGCGGGGGGTCTCGTTGCTGTCGCAGCACGGCTGTACGGAGCGTACCTGCCCCTGCCCCTGGTCGATATAGCTTTTAAAACCTTAGCTTTTCTGTTAGCTCTGGTTTGGGCCCGGTCCATCTTCTTCTCGTTTTCGGAGTCGGACGCTATGGGGTTTATTATATATTCGTCCACAGTTTTCCAACCGCCCTCTGAACTGTCGGCTAACTTTACAAGCTTATTGCGATAGTCTATCATAGCCATACCTTCCTCAATAGAAACTCTGGTGGCATCGCCGTCCGTAGTCGCGGTGTGAGCAGCCTCCGCTATTTTAGCCCGCACTTTCCCGTTGAACTTATGCTGTTCCTCACAACTCCTGCTCTTGAACTTGTAGGTGTCCGTGTTTAGGATAGTTTGCTGTATTTTTTCGGAATTATCATTCATCTTCTTTTCAAAGGAATTCAATTTTAAAGAAACTAAATTGTCCAAGTGAGATAGCATCTCGTTTTGCGAGGTACTAAGCGCACTATGTAGTTGAGCTGAAACCTGCGCAGATACCTGAGTACGAAGATCTTCCTCCATTTTGTGTTTGACCGCACTGGTAGAACGACAGCTAGAGAATGAACTCACCCCGTGTACGCCACGAGTACACCGGCCCACTGGCCGCACGTGCCGCTCGTGCCAGAGAAGACAAATAATTCCCTCTATACTCCGAACCGCGGGAATATTTAATTCCGACACAATACAGCACCAGACTGTTATATTTTCTTTTTCAGAAGATTAAAAACACTCTATGATTAACATTAACATTTGCCTGTATTTTGAAATATTGAGTTTTGAATAAGAGTAATAATTTTTTCTTTGATTAACAGATTCAAATCGAGGTACGTGGTGATGGACAAGAATCCTACGCATGGACGTTGAATACGTGGATTGACACAGAACATCTGTCAATGTTACTTGTTCCACAATAAAATTATTGACAACTATCATGTGACATTCTCTGTCTATCTATATCTTTTCCTGCCCATTTCACTGTCGTTCTATTGGTCTTTCTATCTCCATATGTTTCTATGCCCCCTTCACTGTCTCTCTATCCGTCTTTATATCGCTATATGCCTTTATGCACCGTTCTATGTCTCTCTGTCTTTCTATCTCTATGTCTGTCTGCCCCTTTCACTGTCTCTTTATCCGTCGTTCTATCTTTTATGTCTTTCTGCTCCTTTCACTGTCTCTCTATTCATCTTTCTATATCTATATGACTCTCTGTCCCTTTCACTGTCTCTCTATCCGTCAATCTATCACTGATCCTTGCATATTATCAAAATCTGCCTTTCTGTTTCTGTCTATTTCTCTCTTCCACTTTTTTCTTTAAGGATTTTTTCCTTCATTGTGATGTTTGCTTGCAAAGCTGTGTCGTTCAAATAGATCATACATGTCAAATAAAAACAGTTTAATGTTTATTTTTACGTTTCCTCTGCCTGTTATTTTTTTTTTTTTTTAAATTTACACGTTATATTTAAAATTTAAAATTCCCGCCTTTTCGCAAGTCCACCGAAATTTGTTCAATAGTTGGAACAGCTTGTTGTATCTTGTTGATTGACCCACAAACATTACTTTGAAAATTTAACAAATACCTCAATTTCATTCCTTATTTCAGTATCAATACAATTTTGCGCATGGATAAATGTATAGTTTATACCGTAGTCAGACCTTGGTCTTGTTTGTTGTAATTGTTACGAGTAGTTTTGGAATATCCAGGGTATATGGGTACCATTTTTTATGGTCAATATAGTGTTAGTATATGGGGTAATGAAATTGGTCAGTTGGCCTGGTTAAAGCAAGATAGCTCCTGAATCAGGATCAGGATCAGGTATATGTGTGCGATGATGCCGTCATGTAGGTAAACATGTCTGTTAGGGGGTCTGTTTATATTTTTGAAACATGATTTTGACATGTTGTGATGATTTATTGTGTTACAACGGAATCTAGTTATTTGTACTGATGTTGTGGGAAACGGCATAGGTGTCCATTTCCCCGCCGAATACCCTATCTAAGGGAGATATCCTCATTCCTAGTATTTTCAGTTCAGATTACTGTTTTCTTGAATCATGTTGTTATTCCATAGAAACATAGGTTATTCGATATTGTATACTAGTGCAGATTCTCTATGTTGACTTTGTGATTGGTATTTTGACGCCGTGCTACTTTGCTAGTATAAATGGCTGTTTAATGCGAGTTAACTCCCTTGGTATACATTTAGGAATAATACAATGTACACGGGATGGAATGTATGCACTCTCATTTGAATGTAAATATATGTGCGATATGAAATCGAAACATAATATTATGTTGTTATTCATTGAGATTATTAATAGATGAGTAAGATATGGATAATTAATCGTAAATTTATTAAGAGATAATGGTGAAATGTGTGTTTGTCAGTATCATGAATGTATAATGACATATTTCATGTAATAACTGTTATATTCAGCTGAAATTGTTAATTTTCCTTGTCGAAATAATGTCGATTGAATAGTTATCAATTATTATGCTGTTTATTATTGTAAATATGATCAGATCATATAATCGCAAGTCATTGTAGTTGTGACACAACTATTATGGATCAGTTGGGTTTGTTGCAGTGGATGTGACAGTTTTTGAGCTATGGTGACGAACTATTTATAGTCACACATTTGAAGTCATTATAAAAGTGGTAAAAGTGGTGTTTAAGCTAAATGGTTTGTTTCAGTGTGTTGATTATAAGATTATAGATAATTCTAGTCATTGTATTTGCTAGTCACAACTTGTCACATTCCTTGTCACACTTAGTCACATTTTGTCATTTTTACTGAAATTGTTACCCTAGACAGAAATAAAGCCAGTGCTAATGTTGTTGTACTTTAGTCATTGTAATGTTTTGTACAATGCTGAGAAAATCTTTCCAGAATACACTGTGAAAGTAACCGCTGCCACTTGTTGTTATTTTCAGCCGAGAATCCGACAAGTTACATAATAAAGTTTTCTTTTAATATTTTCTCGATTAATTTATACATTGACAACTATATTGCCAAGACTATAATCTGAAGAAGACTCTCTTGGATTTCTCGAACCCTTGAATATTATATGTCAGACACACATTTTCAAGACATAGTGAATATGTCTTTTATCATTGCGTTGATACTCCATTGTTGATGAACTCCGGCATGAAACCTTGGTCAGTTAAAAATAACGCATTTATTTAGAATATCTTAACACTCAGATCAGCCTCTGATGTAGCAAAAAGCGTTATCACTTCAGTGGTGGATCCAGAGGGGTTTTTTGGGCTTCAGGAACCCCCCACCCTGAGAGTTTTCTTTAAAAATCATGTATTTTTACCCTTTTCCTCAATTTCCCCCCACTTGGAAACACCCCTGGAAATTTGGAAACCCCCCAAAAAAGGTCTCTGGATCCGCCACTGCACTTAGTTTAGTGTCATATACCTTCATCAGATACAGAATTATAATATTGCGTTCATATACGGTTTTTAGTTAATGAATAACAGTACAACTTTGAAAACATAAGCAAAGATTTTATTGAATTTCACAAACTTTTGAATTTTATTGTATTTGATGGACATAAAATCCGACAGATACATCTCAATCCAAAACGACCCCCTGTACCCTTATCATATGTTGTAGCTTGTCGTTGAGTTGTGTGACAGATGGTTAAACGACTGTTGACTCATCTGTAACCATTCCCTCGGCTAGAAAGGCATGGCCTATAGTAGTGATGGAAGAACTTTAAGCATTTGGCAGATGGATCACGATGATACTTCTGACATAAAACATAACTGTTGAAGCATTTCACCTGGTAATCCGGAACATACTCGCCTGGTTTACCAGCCACACACATATCCTGACAAAAGATTTATAAAAAGTGATCAGACAGGGGACGAAACTTGAAGGTACGACATAAAAACAAACGTACGTTTAAAAAAAAAGATGGAAATAAAAAACAGTAATTAATGCGAAGTACAATGTATAAGTACGTTGGTCACGATCAAAACGTTTTTTTAATTTACAAACTAATTGCCATTAGTTATGTATGATTTAAACAAGAAAAAGTGTTTTTTGGCACTTACCAACACTATGTTAAACTATGAATTCAAACACGAAACCTTTTTTGTTTTGTTAAAAATTCATTCTCAGTTAAACTTCAAATGGCAAGAACATGTGTGTTTATAAAGTAAATGAGAAACTGTAAAATACACTATCGAGTAAAATTCGTTCGAGGAGTGCCTTAACCTACATTTTGTACGTGTTAATCGTTTGCGATGTTATGGAAGCAGTGCCCTGAAACTATATTGAACAAATGATTAAACAACATTTAACATTGTGAAGACATAGGTTCATATAGTGTTAACAGTGTTTACTGGTCGATGAAACGCTGTCACAAACATCACATGTTCTCTATATTTAGTTTATAACTATCTTGTACTCACAACACATTCGCAGTCGTAGCCACCATTACCGAAAGCAGTCCTTTGTGTGCATGCGAGGTCCTTGGATAACACTTTAAAGTCGCATGCCTCCATCCTAAGAGAAAACCCTCCGTAGCCGAAGGAACTCCCGCCTGCTATTTGAAACAAGTTTTAACAACCAAGATTAGTAATACATGTAATTTAGTATCTCGTTCACTCATATACGAAAACGATTTGTAAAATGACAACCGTCTTTAATGCATTAATATATTGAAAACAATCATATATCTGTTGGTTTTGTTTTCGTTACCATTGTTTTGTTTTCGTTACCATTGTTTTGTTTTTGTATTTTGTTTTTAAATTGTCCAGGTAAATGTTAACTTTGCTATGCTTTCTGCAATAAAAACTACATTTTTAATATCTGACAACTAGCTACACATTTCTAGTGAAAACCTTTTGCAATAACTTATCTAAAATATTGATAGTTTCCAAAAAATACCCTCCACAAGTACACATATAAAGAGCCGAATTCTCACGGAATCCTTCATGGTAAACTTTCTGAATAGACCACAAATAAAAATCATATCAATATTTTAAAGAAACATTGGACTCATTTAGACCACAACTTATTTTCGAATATAACAAAACCTTGAATTACATAACTGTTGACATCACAGTAAGTATAGTGTAATGTATTACACATTCTACTTACCGAGTATCATATACGTTTTTTTGACTTTGAAGTAAGATGGACAATCGGTGTAAATTGTAAATTTTCCATGAATAGGTAGGTTGTTCTGAAACAAATTTAATTGAACAGAATAATACTAAAAACTCTCAACAAAGAATCCGGAGCAACGCTAATTGTTTCGGAATAGTGAATGTCCCATCATAACTATATATAATTCAGTGAATAATAGATAGATGTACTTTATTAAGAAACAACAGTTTCAACTGAACATTATTTGTCTCTTACCAAGTCTCTTACCAAGTAAATGCATATGCCGTTGATTATGATTATCAATGTATTCAAAATTCCATGCGCTTGCATCCCATTTTCTACTGAAGTACGTAATTAAATACCTTTATGTTTTTTTTCTTAAAATCTTCTATATAGATTGAGAAATTAAAGAAAAAAATTAAGCACAATTGCATCACACCCCTGAAGCTTTCGACAACATTTCCGCTTACAATTCTTAATTTATATATCACGAAAATGTTGCTTTATCCGAAAACGATATCAAACGACAATTTGTTCTTGTATCAACGATAGAAGAGACCAAATTGTACAAAAGTGAACTAGTTTTAAATCAGAAATAGTAGGCTAAGTATCCAAATTATCAAATGTCACCAATGTGTCTAATTGCTACGTGGTTGTTATATAACCAATCATCACGTTTGATTTTATCTTGACGAGGTGTTATTTTCCTTTTGATGTGAATATATACTAGAGCATTGGTCATCACTTGGGATACTGTACAAATGTAGATTTTAGGACCAAATTCTATTCCTCAGTATTCTTGATGTCACCAAAATCGTTCTAGCATCCACATCAGAGTAAATATACTGAATGCTTCTTCATACAACTATGAACGCTATTGAAGTGAGGTAAAACTTGGCGACTGGTCAGAGCATTGGACCAAGAATACCTTCCCTTTCCTTGATAAGGAAGCAGGGTTGGTAATACCTGGCGGTGCGGCGTTTGTTTTATAGAGAATAAGACTTATGCTAGGTGTTTGGCCGTAACTTAGTGAAAATGGCTAATGTGCTTAGTATGTTTACAACAACTTTGTTTTTGGAGTACATGTAATAAACAATATATGATAGAGACATACGTACAATAAATGATAATAAACCTCCTATTGCGGTAATATGCTTAGATATTATGTATGTAACATACAACTTACACGGAACTAGAATAACGGGAAGGCAGGGAACTACCTTTGCATTTATGTGGTCTGAAGGTCAATGCTACAGTAGGGTTTTCTATTAAAATTTCGGCTAAAGGAGACAGCTTATCAGAAACGTTTCGAAATACACAGGAAAAAAACGTTTCTCTAATGGCTACTTTTGAAAATTACAGGATACAATTCAAACAATCGTTAATGATTGAATTCCTTTACCCCGATATCCTATATAAACAAACAGTAGACACGCATATCATTCAAATTCGGTGTATTTATTTATCAACTAATGTTTATACACAACGAACATTTCATGTTTTACAGCGTGTTATAGCACTGAAACAGCAACATACAACTTATCTGAATAAACAATCAGTACCCACCCCGTTGTAGACATATAGTTTATATATCATGTCATGTTTTGTGTTGTTTCGAGTTCATTCAAAATTCATGACTTGAAGTTTGTGCTTGACCCCCTCCCTTTGGTGACCAGTTATAACCTCATTTATCTTTTTTTGTTGAAGTTTGTAGTGTAAGTATTATTTGACGTCCATTTTGGTCGCGATGGTGGTATCGTTTTACAGAGATGTGTACGTTGTATGTATCATATGCACTTAAATAAAACCATTCTACCCAATTCGCTACTATGATACAGTTAAATTAGTATACTTACAATTTTAGATAGGCCACATACATGCAAAATAGCTGTATTGTAACAGTGATTCTATTTTAGTAAGTAAAATAGAATCACTGTCTCAAAATCAAAACTGTCTGGGATGGGCTTATATCAACTGGAAAGGCTGTTTTGCCAATTTCAACAGTTTCTTACCAACTATACATTTATGTCGTCACAACTAAAAGGACGTCGCAATCCCAAAAACAAATATCATCATACCATAGCAATTTCATCTCAACGGGTTGTTAGTGATTTTATACATGGCAAGTGCAATGGGAAAGTAAAGTCGATATGATTGACGTAAACTCAACATGTCATAATGCAAATTTTGTGCGAATGTGGTGAAGACATTATCCTATTACGTAGGATAAAGCATTACAGAAAGTAAGAAGAGTGACAGGCGAAGACAGCTGTTGTTTTGTACAATTTCCTTAAGTCTCGATTGTATAAGAATACAGTTAAAACTGAAAAGGATAGCAACTTAAGACGCTCGCCAATTCGTATCGGTGTATGTATTTTGTTATTGTTGATTAAATGTCAAATATATCGAACAACCTTCAATATGAAATATTATAAAATAACTGTATGCATCAACGACCTAGTCTATAGTGACGTCATATGTGTATTAATATCAGCTACTGTAAAAAATAATTTTATTATATGATCATTAGCAGTGATGTAGTGTCAAAATGTAAAATTAGAGCGAGAGAGTGAGATTGCAAACTTCGAGAACATCACTTCTAAAATGCTGCACTGAAATAAAAGATTTCTAATTGTGGATTTATCTGTTATTCATTTTCAAAACTCCTTTTCAGTAAGTTGGGCGTGTCCGACTTTTCTCTAAAGGTATTACGCTTTATACTGTCTAATACCAGCCGAACGAATTTTTGGATGTATTCATGGACATATTACATATCATGCATTCCCCATTGGAAATAGCGTAGCTGTATCACGTAAATGTTTTCTCTTGCACTCTTATGCTTGAAACTTACTTTGAAATCCTTTATAACTGATACCACGAATGTGTTTCCTGTTTGTTGTTCGGCCCTTATCTTGAGAGCTAAAAATGAAAAAAAAAGTGTCTCGAACCGTCTTAATGTGTAACAAGAAGAACTATTTTACATAGATACATTCGTAACAATTTTGGATCCATACACAAAAGTATAGAACAAGGACAAAACAGTAGATGTTTTAGCGGGATAGCGCTGACAAGTCATTGGCTTATTTCCTATGATATCCATTACATAAAACGCATATACAAATTCTATATACTATGATAAATGATGTTCATACATGGCCAACATGTGTATATAGTTATTACATGGCAACGTGATAATAATAACATAAAAAAAAAATATGGCTAAATATGCACATAAAAGTTTTGAAAACTAATTTAAATCGGTCATTTGAATTATGACATAAAGTCCGGAAACAACACACGACAAAAAGACATCAGGGAATGTTCCAGAAATAGTGAAATTTTAGTATTGTATCAATAAAACATATATATAGGGTGATGGGTAAAGTATACCAATTTTATTTTGCCTTTCGTAAATCAATATGTTCTGAACGTAAAGTATACTCCTTTTTACAAACATCCTACATATGACTTACCATACTTAGCTTTACAGAATAGCACCATCGGATGCAACTCATTTGTTTTATCCCAACACTGTGGACAGCCTCCGTATCCGGCATACCCCCCATACTGTGCCAGTGCTGCGGGCAGGCAAACAACACATAACAGGCTGACCAAAACACCTACTCCCATGGTAGTCACTAAGGTAGGCTGCTCACTAATATCCCAAGTTGTAAGTTGGGAAACTAATGAATTTTTAAAAATAGAAACGTGTACAATTCAATGTTATCTAAACTCTGTCTTTTACTTATGTCAATAAACGTATAAACATATTAAAAGCGTTAACATCTGTTAACATTTCATGATATCGTTTAGCCATTAAAAAGACTTTTCCGATCTGATCAAATATAACGCCGAAAAACAGGATATTAAAATTGGTTCCATGGCGTGGAATAGAGCTTCCATCTAGACAGTTTCCGGAGATATACCTCATAGTTTGTTTTACTCCAAAATGGTATTGAAAACAATTTCCTTATGAGTTGCATTTCAATGTTACGTGGTGAAGGTTAATCAAAAGGTTAAGCTTGCTAAAAAGAATGTAAGTACTATAGACGAGGAAAAGTAATCCAAATATATAAAACCGGAATAGTTTGTATCATTTCGTTTCTATTTTGTTATAAAACTGAACAAAAACACTTAAAAATAAGCGTTCTCGTAAACAAAAGCATTATAAAATACAAAACTAAATCCGTTTGTTAATATAATGCGTTATACTTACTCTATTTTTTCTGCAGACCAAGTGAGCAACGAGGTTGTTATGCAGACCTGTGTATTTAACTAATCCCTAACGGCGACAGCTGACATTGGCTAGTGTGGAAGAGCGCCTCTAATTCCTTACTTAATATGCTAATATTGGATCACCGGAACTTGTAAATACGCATGACCGGTTGATCCGATTACGTTGGCCACACCCACGAGGAATTCATCTTGTTTTTACATTATTATTTTCAGTAGCGTTTCTGGATCGAAATCACGATTTTAATAGGAAAATAAGAAAATGCAGGATCGACTAATATTGTTATGTTTCAAAATATTACATCGATGTAGCACATGGATGCCAGATATTAGTAACTTTAACAACAATCACAAAACACCAACACAGTTAAATGCTTACAAAACAGACAACATATGGAACTTAATACATATGAAAAGTGAAAACAACGCGAAAACCCATTTAACTCATGTGTATAAATCAAATGGCATGACTGTTTTTCTTGTTTAATTTAAATCTGTGTGCTGAGGGTTTAAACTCCTCGAAACAGACAGGGATTTATTCGGACGGTGTTTGATGTAGATAATGCTACACACATATATATAGAGGGAAGAGAGTGGAATATCAGGGATATATTTGTATAGGACTCAAACAACTAAATCATTTACTGTATGTTATTACCAAACATTTTACCTAATACCTTTAATATTTGAAGTTCAAAACTTGTCATCAGTTCCTTATTAAACTCCTTCAGTGGCCCAGTAATTAGCCGGAACTTATTTCAAATAGGAAAAACAAACGTATGAAACACTTGCTGATTGGCTGATTTAGTTGTGTGAGGCCTTAAAGGACTCACACAACTAAATCATTTACTATATGTTATTACCAAACATTTTAGCTAATAACTTTAATATTTGAAGTTCAAAACTAGTGACAAATGTCTAGATTCATAAATACATCCTTGCAAAGGCTGTAAAATGACTTTTTTGGTAGGTTTAGTGGCATATTGGAGTGTCACAGCGCCAAGAAGTTGACAACCAGAAGTTTACAAGCAAAACCGGTGACCAAAAACAGAAACGCCCCCAGACATTTTGCCCCTGTGCAAATCCGCACACAGACAAGGAAATATATCAAAAGTAGATATTTTTCAAAAGTTAAATACCTGAACATTTCATTTATCTAAAGATCTGTCATTAGTTCCTTATTAAACTCCTTCAGTGGCCCAGTAATTAGCCGGAACTTTTTTCAAATAGGAACTACAAACGTATGAAACACTTGCTGATTTGCTGATTTAGTTGTGTGAGTCCTATATAAGACATAGATTATTATATCAGTCATATATTTGTACAACAGAGATAAATTATTATATCATAAATAGATTAATATATCATAGATAGATTAGTATATCATAGATAGATTGATATCTCATTCATAGATTAGTTTATCATAAATAAATTATTATATCATAGATATATTAGTATATCATACATATATAAGTATATCATAGATAGATAAGTATATCAAAGATAGATTCGTATATCATAGATATATAAGTATATCATAGATAGATTATTATATCATAGATAGATTCGTATATCATATATAAATTATTATATTATAGATAGATAAGTATATCATAGATAGATAAGTATATCATACATAGATTAGTATATCATACGTAGATTAATATATCATAGATAGATGATTATATCATGCATAGATAAGTATATCATAGATAGATAAGTATATCATAGATAGATAAGTATATCATAGATAAAATATTATACAATAGATAGATTATTAAATCAGAAATAGATTATTAGATAGATTTGTATATCATAGATAGATTAGTATATATATATTTTTTTATTTTTTTTTACAAGACAAGACAAAACATATATGACATTGTTCATAAATACATGATTGTTTATACATATTAAAAAAAGATAATTATCATCATCTGACATCATCATCATCAGACATCATCATCATCATCATGATATTATTATTAACACATAAGCAGATATTAAGCAAAAAAATGCCAATGCCATGTACATACATAAGACATACACTGAGACACTGATGCAAAAACAATATACATAAACCTATGACATCAAACACACAAGAGCAAAACCAAATAAACTGAAACAGAAAATAAAAGAAAAAAAACAAACCCCACAAAACATTACAGGCGATTGGGAGCAATCCTAGGTCATTATATTTTAACTTAAGCCTGGCGAATTAAAAAACATAGGTATTAGAGGTAGTTTGCTTTGTTGGCTTAAAAGTTATCGTTATAATAGAAAACAGTATGTAGTCTTAAACGGTCAAACTCGTCACGAATTTTCATTTTAGCTCGCCAGAGGCTCGCTAAATTGAAAAATTCTTAGACTCGTTTCATAAATATCATATGAAATGGAAACTCATGTAAGATCCTATATGTAATACGTGCTCTTTTGTTAAAGTCATATATATGTACTGTATGTTGTTCTGTTAAAGCCAAACTTACAAGCAATATGTGATGTTTGTTTAATTGTGAAGTACGGGTTAATTTGTTCGAGTCATACAAATATGTACTTTTTGTTTTTGTTTGTTTAAGTTATACTTATATGAGGACTGTTTTAATCTTACTCTAAGGTACGTCTTGCTGCTTCGTTGCCACTTCCCTGGTTCTCTATTCTAGGACGTGACATTACCTCGATTTAACCTTGATTAACATGACGGTACTATCATTATACTTTCTCAGCATCTCCTTGCACGTATGCTCTTTGTTTATACGTTGGCGGTTACGGTTTTGTGACACTTGCTTATTCACTTGTGTTTCTTTTTGACATATGTTAAGACCCATCAACACTATGTCTTTTTTTCTCTCTCTTATCCGTGAGATTCAAATCGGAGCGTTCCATAATTAATGACAGCTAAAGATTATGGCATCACGTTTGATAAAACAAATTTGTAAATGATTAAGTACACTATTTATCCAATCGTAAGCTATTGTATAAGTTAGGCAAGGTTGGCCAAAAGACACTTCATCACTATCCTGTTTATAAACTGTGATCACCCCGTAGTAGGTCTGGATAAACTATTGACTCTGTTGAAGTTACCGGTCCGATATGATAACCTGTAATATTATTATAGATGTTAACTTCCTTTGCTTTTTCGTTTATTTTAAAAGCCGTATACTACGTTCAGGAACATGATTATTTACCACCCCAGTGATGTGGGCTTCAGAAAGTAAATGTATTTGTTGAACAAATCGGATCATGGGCCAGCTGATGCTTTCAGTTTCTTCAATATAGCATAGATAATGTGGATATGAAGACGAATACTAGGAAAGGGCGGGACAGACAAAGACCTCCTCAATGAAATAGGCGGTGACCGGACGTGATACTGTAAATAACACAGGAGTACTACATGTAATGCAAATAAAAAAACACGTCATGTATTTCCTTCATATATGTATATTTATAACCAAGTATATATATTCAAGGAACTGTTGTTTATTTGAGTGCATCTGACAGAACAATATGTAAAAATACGAACAAATCAAACATATGTATTATCACCTTTTTGTTCTATGTATATACAGGATCCTTGCATCGAATCGAGCCATTTAATCTGACATAGGGTAAATAACAGGGATTTGTAGTTAAAACTACGCTAATTTTGAATGTGCCGACAGGATCTTGCAAGTTATAACCTTGCACACTCCTAGGGCACTAAGGTGTAACCTTAAGACTTCACTCAAATGTTTATATTTACATCTCCCACTTCTTCAGCTTATCAAAATCTATATACGTATGCGTATACATTAGCGTATACGCAACGAAAAGGGGCTTGGCTCTTTGATACCATTTTCAGGTGTTGCGCCGTTCACGATTCAGCGAGATAATTGTTCGATGACATTTATTGTTTGGTTCCTTCAACACCAGAAACATAAAACATAGATCCATGATGTCTGATTATACAACAAAGGGATGCTAGCAAACTCCTTATTACATGAATGAACATAGGGACGTTCGATATCGTCACTACCAGAGCAGTGTGTCATAGGGTGTGCACAACGATCGTTACAAATGAACAAGTTTGTTCGAGGTGCTACTAATATTACCTATAATATAATCAAAAATCTAAAAGCGCTGAAAAGGAGAAAATCAGTGTTTTTCACTACGTATTATCTAAATTTACCCATATATCGATGTAGCTACACTTAAACTATATTATCCTTGCAACCACAGCTACCGTAGTTACAATCGTAGGAACCCGCTTCGAATGATTTTTTCTTTGTATAGCATGTGAACATTATTTATGATGCAAATAGAAGAAGTGACCTGTGTAGAGAATTACACTTGGTAAAATACAACTCCAAATAGTGTTACATTTATGTAAAGATTGACCTGCATTTTGATGGCCATACGGTAGTATGAACCAGTTGGCAGCGAACATATTCTTTATGGAGTGCTAACGCGCACCATAGAATATGTTCGTTGCCAACGACGCTGTATTCTATCGTATACACCGTCATAATTCAGGTCAATCCTGAAATACATGTACCACCATTTGGAATTGTATTCTACCAACTTTTACTCTCTACACACTAGGCTAAATCCATGAATACCTGCGGTAACACATTCTCGAGTTGGAGGCCCGGGCAGGGCTCGGGTCCTTTGTAATGTTTCTATGTTTCATGTTCGCTTACTAGTGTACATATATGTGCATTGATCTGAAAGTTCAAGAACTACATAATATCCTTTTTGCAACGTGTCTAAAATAAAGTATACTTATTTCTGGTTTTGAGAAACCTAAATATCAAGGAGACATGTAAAACATATTTATTTTCATAATTAGATATTTAACATACAATGTACATGTAGTTCAATCGTGCCATCATCAATAATGCTACAACATTAAAGACATAAGACCTTTTAGTTTATATAAAGAACACTGTTCCTCTCCTCTCTTGCTATAGAATACTTAATGTATCGCCAATAGCAGTTAAGTGTCTCTTTAATTGACGACGTTATTCGTCGTTTTAAAACAAAAAAAAGTATTGAAATAGTTTTATGGAGATCTGT